CAAAATTAACTTAAGCAATCTACTTACAAAATTATACGTATATTCAAAACTGTTTCAAATGCACAATATAAGCCCTGTTAAATTTTAAGCCTTAACGCTTACTCTTTCTCTTGATATAGGAGTTTGGCTCTTACCGCTAAAAATTATGAGGAAACAAAACTATTCAGAAACCTTGAAATGGTAATTATACCTTTAAAATAGAATTGCAAGTGTAAGGATTATAATAAATTTATGTTAAAATATCAGTTTAAAAATTTCAGGACAAAACTAATTGCGATTCTTTCTTTATACCTACTTCTTATGACGCACTTCCAGTCTTTGAACATAAATCATCTTTCATTATTTAACAATAGCTATTTTGCTATTTACAATGCATTGACTCATGACTGATTAGTGGTGACACTTCAGCATGGAGCGATAATTCAGAAGAACTCCCATTCTGCCTATATATATAAAACAGCAGATCCAAACATACCAGTTCATCTTTAAGAAGTAAAAAGTATCCAAAATCGTCAAAAACGAGACATAGGATCATTCAAGATGATGAAAATCATAGAATTTTATTGGCTCTTTTTATTGGACAAGTTTTGTTCCAGGTAAATTAAATCTATTTCAGTTTTATTGCTATTTCAAGTGTAGGCTAAAGAGAGTAATTAAGAAAAAAAGCATAAATTAAAGATATAATGCAAGTAAATTTAAAAATGCAATGCAAGGCGATAATATTGGGTGGTAACAATTTGAAAAATGATCCAACACCTTTAGTGATTCGACGTAAAATGCCCTTTTAGGACTCTGGGCTAACACCCCTTCCCCTTTGGACTGGTAAATAATATACGTATCCTGAAAATGTAATGAAATATATAACGAAAGAAGAGAAGAAAGAAAACGTCGGATTTTTTTTCTTGTGGTTTCAACGCAAGACATAAAATTTGTTTAAATTGGAACGCATTTTGTGGAAGATTAATATTTCATTGGAGCGTCAGTAAATTACTCTACTTAATATCCAATATAGTACGTTGTATATTTTAATTTGCTGCAAAAGAAAATTTTCATCTTTTCTAAGCTGGACAAATATGCTTTCTCTCAAGAACGTCGAACCCTGCTACGTTGAAGTAAAGCACTGCTTAAGTTTAGAGCATTTAGTATTACAACACCAAAAACAAAACACAACAACAAAAAGAAACCGCAAAGGGAAAAAAGTCTAAAAGGTTTAAGATTTTTATCGTCGTCTGGAAAGGTTTATTTATTTATTTATTTATTTTTTTACGCTCTCCCTGATCTCGCAGTCTACTAGTCTGCTGTTGCACTTTGTCTTTCAGATCCCTCTCCGAAATGGGTTACACTTTTTTTTTTTGTTTTTATCTTCTTAGCTTTATTATTAAGCATCGTTTTTTCTTCACACTTATGCAATATACAGTTCAACAGTATTCACAAAACATTTAAAGGCAGCATACGTTTAAAGTTCCCGATACAGTGCTAAGTGTTGGCATACATATTTCTATTTTTTCAGTCTTGTCCCAGTTCATCAATGTTCAGTTTCTTAGAAAGATGGCTTATAAATCTTTTTTTTTTTTTTTTTTTTTTTTTTCTTTTTTTGTTAACTTTTTTTTGCGTGTTACTTTATCATTCCGTCACTTTCCTCGCATCATTACGCCAAATAAAATTCACTCAACAGCAAATAAAAAATATTTAAACATGATATCTTCGGAATTTTCCGATAGCTACCTCACTGAGTTTGGAGATAATTGTTTTTATTTTCCGTCGTGTTGCCACTGTTTCTTTCAATTGGTTGATTCGTTATCAGAAAATTTATTCAAAAAGTTTTTTACAAATATGTAAATAAATATAACAATAGAATATACGCCATCTATGCAATATTGACTATCTTAATTAAATAGTGAGGAATCAATACTTTTTGTGTTTACTGAAATCAATCCGATTTAAATGTAAGAAACGAATATTTTTAGACCTGCATCCATTACTTTCAAATAGCTTAGTTTGTTAATCTACTACAGACAGGTTCAATCTGAAAGATAAATACATTGCAGAATAGCAACAGACTCGAATGAAAAATGAAACGACGCATTTATAGTGATTCAGCGTAAAATCCCATTTTAAGAATAACAGCCCCTTCTAAATAAAGGGGCGCAAATAGGGGAAAAAGTATAAAATTTTGTAACACAGTTCTTATTCAGCATGTTAAAATTCCTTTCCTCTTTCGACGCAAGCAGTAATCTAAAAATTGTTTAAAAATTCCTTTGAAATATGATTTATTTCACAATTGTTTTAGGACATTACATATGTCCTAAAAATTAATCCTTAAAAAAAGAGGAAAAATAAGCTGTGTAGGCTTGTCTTGTGATTTTCCTCGTATTAAAAACTAGTCATTGGTGTGAATTACAAAAATGCAGCAACAACACAATAGCTTGTATATTCTATTAACCTTGGGATCAATTTAAAATTAAATAAGTATCTTAAAAAGGGCTGGTTTTAAAAGAAAAGTCATTCAGTAAATGGAATGTAGATTTAATTTCCATTCCAATTAGCATTAAACAAAACATGCTCAACAAATCCCATGTGTATTAAATGCTGCTAGGCCTAGCTAAAAGCATTGCGTAGGTGCTAAGCTGCTAATACACATGGTGTGATTTAAAAAGAATGTAATTATTTAATCGTAGTCATGTTAAATAAACAAAAGATATGATCTGAGAATAAAATACATTAAACCCTTTTTTCTAGGTTGTAGCAAGCAAAGAATGCCTGACAAACCTTGATTGTTCAGAAAAACAGTGCTGTGTGTTGAGAATGGGGCTGCGATGTGGCAGTTTGGTGCGAAAAAGTAAAGATTTGAGCTCTTGTAATCTAATGTGTCTCGTTTCTTCGAATGGACGCTATGAATTTAATAATAATAAAAAGACAAAGAAAAAGAAGAGCAATAACACTAATGTTTTGAGCGAAATATGTAATTTTCACATAAAATTAGAATGTTACCTCTTTAATTTGGATCGTGACAGGTTTTCCAGTTGAGCATATTCAGCTTGCCTATTTCTTGAAGATATAAATGCTTGGTTCTTGTAACGAAATATAACTACTTATTTCTTAGGTCGGAGTTTTTAGTTATTATTTAATGTCTAAAGTAAACTAATTATTTATTATTAATTCGTTTACTAGTTTTTTAAGAAATAGACGAATTCCCGTATTTATGTTACATATATAATTAAAGTATTCATAAATATACAGCTGCTTATTTAAGTGCCTCATCTGCTTATTTAAGTAGCATAAAACGATTTACTTTAATAAGAAACTGGATTCCTTAGTAATTGAGAAATACAAGAAATGCGTTTGATGGTTTTCTTTCACATTTAAAATGCCCCTTCTATCTAAACCTTTTTCCAGCTTGTTAATGAAAAGGACACATTTTCTAAGATCTCTCTAAGACAAGTCTTGATCTTTATAGCATTTGAAAATATTAAAGAGTATGATAAATACAAAAATTAGATTTTACTAGTTCGTGTCTCACTCAGAATTCTAAATAAATTATTTGAGTCATTTATTTTAAATTCTACATGTTAAGCAAAGTACAATGGTTTATACTACTATATAATTAAAAAAAAAAGGTGTATTTAAAAATTATATTAGTTTTGCCAAATATGAAGATTCTGAGAAAAACTCTCTATTAGTTAAATAAAAAGCTTCAAATACTAACTTCACTAATACTCAGCTGTTTTTAAGATTAAAAAAATTAACAGTAATGTGATGATGAATACCGTATTTTTTTCTCCTTAGCTTTCTAACGCGAAGTTCTGAAAATGTTTTAAGTACACGTGATTTTATCCTTCCGCAAGGCGTTCAGAAAGCCAGCTTCCCTAAGTTTTAAAATTGATTCGTCAACGTAATGATTGTTTTCCTCTTACTATTTGATTTGCTTGTGAACTTTTGGAGCATGGGTTCTGTTTGATGGAGCAATAACAGTGAAGAGTTCAAGAAAATGGGAATATCTAATGCTCGTAATGGTTCTGAAGATATTTGCGCATAGAAAGACAAACTCTAGGTGACGAAGGCGATGACAACGGATGACGATGGTAATGACTTCCGAGTTGCAGCAGACTAACACAGGCAGCAGTTCCAGCAGCAGTGTATGATTTGAGGTTTAGGGAGTATCAGTGAACAACAATAGGAGCAGACCAGATTCAAGATACGTGGAAGCAAAAGTCATGATATCTTAATTAGACATTGTACTCTTAATGTTAATATGGACCCTTACTGGGATGAGATTTCTTTAAATAAAAGAGTTCAGGTATTTATTCATGAATATTGCATTTGTAAGTTATTTTTGCTGTAAAGTTCCCTCTGAAATCACTTTATTTGCACAATTTTCCAATGTTTTTTTTTTTTTCCTCCTCTCATTAATACCGTACATATATTAATGCCACTGAAAGGGACCCACATGGCATCCTTGTACGTCCTATTTAAGTTTACAACATTTTTTGCTGCCCCTTCATTTGAATATTCTTTCTTCGATTATTCTAATAAGAACGAATCCTTTAATAAGAATTAAAAAGACATCGAAATTAAAATTTTAATTAAAATATCCGGTCCAAATTTCCTCCTCATACAAATGTTAGGAAAAGATCAATATTTTGAAATGATTGAGTACCAGTTTTTGGGTTTTGTTTCTCCGAAATAAGGAACACAGCAAATCTTGAACATAACTCTATCTCTGTCCATCATAACATAATGAAATTAAGTATTTATTGTTTAAATAAGAACTCTCATAATTTGAAGATTATAATTGCATATTAATTATTTAAATTACAATATAAATATTAATTGTTAAGATTTTCATTTAAATGTTAAATTTAAGGCAGGAACCTTTTACCTTATGATTTTAACTGCATATACATAATTAGAATTTCTTGAAACTGGATGTAATATAACACAAATGTCAAACGAAACGAATTGTTCAAGAAAATAATTAAAAAAATAACAACTTCTTTTGTGTTTTAGGTCAAGCATGTAATCTGATAAGTCTGCCATTAAATATTGAGGAATGCCCTTGCAAAAGTGGTCTTACCTGCCAAGAATCAAACGGAAGGGTAAGAATATAGATTAATTCGTCTCTTCAATTAAAAGTTTGTTTCTAAATTGATGTAAATTTTGTATACTGTCGTGACACATAAATTTATTATTAATCTTAATCTATTGTACTAACTTAAAATTTGATCTTCATCACGCTAACGTAGATTATTCAAAATAGATATTAAGCTTGCAGAGTTTAATGTATTTTGTTCTCATCCAAATTGCCTAAACTCTTGGTAAAGTGAATTATCGCTGTACGTAATTGCGTAAAGTCTGCGCGTAGAATGCCTTTTATTAAAACTAAATAAGACGAGAAATCATACCTTGTGCTTACAACTCAGCCAACCACTTCTGGCGGGATAACTTATGTTAAAAGTAAGTCAAATTATCAGGGTCAATGTTCCTTCTAACCTCTTCGGACATACAAGGACCTGAACCGGACACCGAGAGCTTACAAAGCTATGTCACTAATTGTGTAAAATAGACAGAAATAACAGACGAGGGTATACAAAACTTTTATTTTTCGTCTATATACAATAACTCCGTACTTCGGATACACTGACCCGCCCACTTGGGGTCTAAAGTAAAATATAAAATAAAACTAAACTCTAATTAACTTTAGAATAATACCGTTGAAGATTTGGCCTATAATCCAGGAAGCGTATGTAGCACCAGACTGTGAACACACAAACGTTTAATTGATCAAGAGATTATAAACCCTCTGGCCTGGAAGGCAAACAGCAACTGCGTACCTCTAAGGTAGCGCTGCTTACTCACTGCTCCTCTCTCTCGCTTTTGGCAAAAGGCCACACTTAAATCTTGGCGTTCGCCAGACAAACTTTGCATAAAAACCTTCACGCTTCTACTTCTGGCCGAAAGATAAAATAAGAAGTGATAGTAAAAAATTAAATAAAATAAACGGGAGTAAACCTACAGATCCTTACTCTTTCCCGGCCAGGTTATTAGTTTGAACTGAGGTTTCTAAAAGACCTTGTTGAAAACTTTAGCTCAAAATACAACGCGGCCAATCTTTTACAAACATAACGTCGCTAGAACGGAAATTTAAAAGAACGAAATTTGTACATTGCAGCTCCCCGGATACAAAATTTTTTTTTTCATCTGTACTGCATCTAACAGTACTTTTCAATTCTGGTTTCCTTTCCCAGAGATCTGGAATGAAACTAGTGAATGAAATTTTACAACAACACATCAATGAAATGGGCAAGTAACATATACAATTATAACTTCTCTTACATTCTTATTCATTCATGACTATTTTTCATTACTCTCCCCGTGCTTCTCTGACATGGTTGTAAAAGACCACCCACACTATGTGTTTCTGTCCTACGTGTGCCACACTTTCCTCCTACAATCAAAACACAACTTTACAATTCAACATAACGAACCTCTTAACACACCCTAATTCAACTCTACTAACCCTGAGGGACTATCTAAAGTGGCTAACGCAAAATTGTAGCGTCAGAGAGCCTAAAACACACTTCACCCTTTAACCATATTCGCCATGATTTCTCTTTACCGTCACACACGAATACCAAATTTTAACATTACTTTCACTGTTACCATATCACGGTATTTCTTAACATTTAGAATAAATTCACATTGTATATAGAACATCTCAACTGCTGTAATTTTACACCTTTGAAAACAAGCCATAGTATACCTGTTACCTCTATTTCTTTTCAAAGCAAGTGCCAATTCTGTCTACATTGAAATATACATTTCAAAAAGTCTTTCAGACTAAACCTTCTCTCGTCTCTTGCTAGAACATGTTTTAAAAAATAAATTTTACCATAACTTTGTTACAATATTTACGTCTTTACCAACGCAATTATACAATCAACTTTATTTTTACTCGCGAGTAATTGAAAACCCTAATAAAAAATTCGTCACCACTCATTTCTCGCCCTGTTGGCGATAAAGGGTAGACCTCGCCTGAGGTAAACCTTCTTGAAATCTGCCACGTGCAGTAAGAAGGGAAAGATACCTTAATTTTTGCAAAGTACTCAAATTTTACTTATCTTTGTAATATTCGGACTCCTTTTCCTGGGCCCAGTCTTTAATGGTACTGCAGATAGTAGTTTGATTTATCCTCCTTCTGTACGGCTCCCCTTCAGTGCTTTCCTCTGAAGCTTTCCTTTTTCATTTCACCAGTTCGACCACCCTTGATATCTTTCTTTTCTCCTCCGCTTGTGTCTTGGCCCGTTGATGGCCGCTGGTCTTGGCGAACCGGAAAACTTCTGTCGTGTTCCTGCTTGGACCTCATTGTTGGCCGTTCAAATTTTCTCCTTGTAACTTTCCTTCCTCCGCCGCTGATGCCCTTCCAGTTTGGCGACTTTGGCTGCGAGAGTTCTGTCGGATGAGTAGATCTTCCGTTTTAAAGCCGGGTTAATAGTTTTGCTTGCAATTTCCCCTGGTTCTCTTCACATACGTCGTCCTCCTCCCTTCTTCATTCTGGGGCTGTTTTCGTGAACTCTCTTTTCTGGACGGTTGGACGGCTTCTTTTCTGTGTTACCTTCATTTTTTCTCGCGGGGCAATTTTCTTTTCACTTGGTTCTGTCTTCTCCATGGGCTTGCCCTTGTACTTCGTTTTTCCACTCTGGAGCTTGTTCCGGCGTGTCCCCGTGCCGGATCCTGCAAAAGTCTGAACGAGTTGCTTTTATTCGATCGCAGTAGGGCTTGATTTGATCATTTTGGCGGAACGGTTTTCACCATTTCTGGCTTTAACATCTACAACAGCGTTAGTTGTTTCTATAACATATGTCCTTCAAATCGTGTAAAAAAGTTGGCAGTTTTTATCTCCTAGTGCTGAAGAAATGATGCTTAATTTTTAAACTTCATCCCTACTTATAAGTACTCCCCGTCGTTTTCAAATCATATATGCTTCTTTTTTCTTTGTGCTGTTGTGCACTTCCGTATCTTTTTTGCTTCTTTTTATTGTTTGTCTTCTATATCACCCATTTTAAATTCTGGGCTCTTTGTTGCAATAAATTTTATCTAACGTTTTATAATCGTTCTGCTAGAAAGAACTCAGCAGGAGTTTTGCCCGTTGTCATCATGGTTTTGCGGTCCTAGGAGTCGAAGCAATTCATTGACCATAGTTTATCCAATCCTCAGCTTTTATAATTTTTAACATAACTAACGTATTAATTTTTTCACTAATTTCTATTGACCCCGTTCCGCATATTTGATTGCGGCGATACGGGAAACCATTTTAAATGACGTATGCTCAGGTTTTGGCACAATGTCCTTCAAATATATTACTACACGTCACCAATTGGAGGACCATTATCCGTACTTTTAGGGGCGCCCCGTATTTTAAAAATATTTATTTAACATAGAATAGTAACTTTCGGCGAGGCGCGTTTAAGGGAACAATTTCGGTCCATTTACTAAAATATCAACAATCACAAGGAGAGAGCCGACGTTTATTTAACTGACTTTTTGGAAAGGGCGCCATAAATCGATGCCATGTAGTCCCATTTGGAAATTTCGATTTAATACTAATTTAAGAAACCCAGCGGGCGGAAATTAATATAATTAACTGCTTGACATGTTTGGGCATGACTGGACATACGCCCTTGGTTACTTTTGCAGTTCAGAGTAGACTGCCTCGCGTCACTGCGGTTGGATATTTTTTCTCAATACCGCATGAAGAGCTAAAGGGCTGTCTGGAGCCCTGCAGGATATTTAATCTAAGACTAGCTGGGATCATGCGAAATTCGTTTGTTGGAATTGTAGTTTTTTTTGTATAAATAATAAGACATCTTATTCGTAATGGGCCGCCCAATTTTCTTATCGCCACAATTCTGGTGCTAAAAGTTTCAGGATCTTCCAATACTCATAAATGCTTCCAAACTCAGGATCCCTTACCCATTTCGGTTTATTACATTCTAGGGAATTTATTGTCCATGCTGTAAGCATTGCCATCTTTACGGTATGCCTTGTTCTTTCTATTTTAAAATCCCTGATAGGCAGCTGCTACGATATTTTCCTTTCCAGGGGTATGCTTATTACCCGATATATTCTTTGCAGCTTGGAGTGCCCATCTTATTTAACCATGGGATAAATTTTTCCCTGAGTACATCTAGTTACCGCCGCATGATCAGATAACTGTTACGGCCCGTTTTCCAAATAGACTCGGAACTTTGCACTGCTAACAGAACTGCAAGTGCGCTACTCGCTCGCTCTCGGTCTCAGAATAGTTCTTTGTGTTTGATAAAGTTCGACTAAAAATGCCACGGGCTGTCTATTTTGCGAAAGTACCTCTTTTTTTTTTTTTTTTTATTTCCTAAACCGCATAATCCGAAGCATCCGCTGAAATTTCTAATTCTCATCCTTTTTTCAGGATTTCAACACAGGGGCTTCGTTAATGCTTTTTTAATTTTCGAAAGCACTATTGGCTTCGCCGTCCACGGACACATTCCTTTTTCCTTTTAATTTTAACAATGGTTCAGCAACAGCTGCAAATTTTATAAAGGACCTATAATTGAACAAAGTCCTATAAAAGAAGAGAGCTTCTTTGCCGTGTTTGAAGTCGGATACTTTGTACATGCGATTATTTTTGATTCATCGGTCTCGATCCCTCTTTGAAGTTTTTGTAACCTAAATATTTTTAATTCAGGGACTGCTTGCACTTTTCGACATTAACTTTTAGACCCCGCGGCACCGGGCCTCATTTAATAAAGGAAACACTGCCTTAATCCGTGTACATTGGTCGAGATTAACACTAGTATAATGATAGCGTCTAAATAGATAATGTGGACTTTCTTCCAAGAACAGGTCCTTAACACATGTCCTCAAATCGCTGAAATGTTGCCGGGCCCCTAAAGGGCCAAACGGCATAACTCAAAATGCCTAAGTGGCCAGACTTGGTTAGAAAGCAGTCTTGGGCACGTCCTCAGAGGCCTCACCCTATTTGAAATACCAGTCGTTAAGTCTAAAGTCCGTCTACATTTGGTTATTTATTTTCCTTAAAATTTCTTCTATGATCGTAACG